AGCTGGAGCCTCCCTCCGAAGGCTCAGTCTCAGGGCAGGGATCTGGGGGTCCCGGGTAGTGCTATTCTCATTTGGCCCGAACCTCTCAGAGAAGCAAGAAGGGAAATGGGAAGGACACCTGATAGCAGACGGAAAAATTCAGAAAAGAACGACAACAGCAGACAATGTTCTGTGGCTTCCGGTTGGCTCGGGGAAAATCGCCTGGAGTCATTTGGTGTAGGGACAAAAGTGCATCCCCAGGAGTCCACAGCTCATAATGAACGCTGCTCAAAGCAATGATTAGGATCCGCTAAGAAAGGGCCAAAATCTTTTCGGTGTTTGTGCTGAAAAACACAGGAAGCTGTTTGTAGAGAGATTTCTATCAAACTGAGGGAAAAGAACCTGGCGCTAAAATAATAGAACCTTCTTCCTAGAAAACTGGCCAACGTGGAACAGCTCATCTCTATTGCTGACCGATAATAAGCGGGTTCTGAATTTGGCATTACTTTTATGGCTGGTAAGCCCTGTCCCCAGACCAGCTGGGCTATGCCTGTTGGCTCGACGTGGCCGCTGTGGGCAGGACACTGACAGCTGTGGCCCGTGCAGCAGGGGACGGCAGGCCTTTGCCCCGATTCCTAAGGAGCTACTCTTTGGGTGTGCAAACTTGCTCCGCATGGTCTCAGACACCCAAACTAAGTGAATCCCCTGGATGAAAGAGCTGCCTCACCCGCCCACCCCACTGCCACCCCTCGTCCTCATTGTCTTGTTAGTCTTTTCACCAGCAAGCTCTTAAGTGTGTGTAACTCTGGGAGAAAACATTTGCGACGAACAAAATGGACGGCTGAACTGAGCTCCTCTCTATAGCCTCTCAAACCTCAGGGGCTCCCTCTTTATGTCAACATACTGCTTTTATTGTTTGTTTTCTGAAATACAAAACACTAAGTGTGCACCTAAAAAAAGTTAAGAAGCTATAGCTATGGAAAAAGAAGAAAATGAAAGAAACTTCATGATCCCAATACTCGGAGATAACCATTATTATCCTTAGGTGTATATTCGCCCAGTCTTTTCTGGATGATAGATAGAAATTTTCTTTTTAAAAGATTTATTTATTTATTTGAGAGAGGGCGTGGGGGAGAGAGAGCACATGCGAGCAGGGGAGGGGCAGAGGAAAAGAATCTCAGGCGCACTCCCAGCTGAGCATGGAGCCCAGCACGGGCTCGACCTCATGACCTGAGCTGAAACCAAGAGTCCGACACTTAACCGACTGAGCCACCCAGGCGCCCCACACAGAAATTCTCTAATGGGATCAATTATATTTTACCTTTTTGTTTCCCTTAACAGTATGTCATAAAATTTTCTCTCATGAAAAATTCCCCTGCATCAGTGGTTCTCAAAGTGTGTTTGGGGGTCCCTGGGGGTTCCCAAGACTTTCACGGATTCTGTTGGGTTGAAACAATATTCCTAATAATACTAGGACGTTATTTGCCTTTTCACTGCCATTCTCTTAGGAGCGTATGGTGGAGTTTCCAGAGGCTGCGTGCATGGTATTAAAACAGGCTGAATGCAAAAGTAAACACGCAAGTCTTCTAATATATACATATATAACATGCAAATCTTCTATTAAGCCAGACTAACTTAAAGAGATTTGCAAAAGGGTAAAACAATGCCTTTCTTCTCATTAATTTTTTGTGTTTTGGAAAAAAGTTATTTTTCATAAAAATGTTTTTTGGGAGAACATGAAATGGGTTCATTAAAGTTATTTTTTTTAAAGATTTTCTTTCTTTCTTTATTTGAGAGAGACAGAGGGAGTGCTTGCACACATGTGTCAAGTGGGAGGGGCACAGGGAGAGGGAGAGAATCTCCAGCAGGCTCCGTGCTAAGTGCGGAGCCCAAAGTGGGGCCAGATCCCACAACCCCAAGATCATGACCTGAGCAAAAGTCAGGCGTGGGATGCTCAACTGACTGAGCCACCCAGGCGCCCCTGATGTTATTTTAAGTGAATTAACAAATAGATATTTTTTAAATTCCTTTTTTAAAATTTTGATTATGCCAAATATTGATATAGAACCCATCTAAGTAAAAGCTCTTTGGCATCCTCAATACTTTTAAAAAGTGCAAAATGATTCTGAGCTGAGCACTTGGGAACAACTGTTCTACATCATCAATTCTGATGACTGCTTAGTATCCCTTTATGTGGATGTCCCTAATTCTTTCACACATTTCCTTATTGATAGACCTGCAGGTTGCTTCCAATTTTCATTATAAAAGTGCTGCACAAACCATCATGCACTTATGTAAAGTGAAAATCTATTGGATTCAGAGAAAACAACAGAAACCAACTGGTAGAGCGAGCCATCACCACCGGTCCCTAGCAATCAAATTAAACACAATGTATCACAAAATATGAACAAATAAAGTTGAAAAGCTCTGTGTGCATTGGCTATATATGCATGTGTTCAAATACACTGTTTATCTCTATGCAGAGTCTCACACTCTGTAGAGTACCTTTTTCCCTGCTGTCCCTGAAGTGTTTACAAAATCTGATCATATTCTAGACTAGGGCCACTGAGAATATAAAACTCTTTGATACCATTATAGAAACTGAGAAGAAGAGTTTCAAAACTTTTAAGCAATTTGAGAGAGAAACTTTATCTCTGTAGAAAGTAAATTGTAAAAAAAAAATGGAGTACTAAAAAATGTTACAAACATTTTGGGTATACTGGAGAATATTTCTGTTGGATAGATTTCTAGAAGTGGAATTGCTAAGCCAGGGGACGTGCGCATTTACATGTTAATAGTTAGTGCTAAGTTACCTGTAAATTTGATGTAAATGCATCAAATGCACCGAGAATGTATTTGGGCACCTGCTCTCTCGCACACTTGGCGATGCCAAAGATAATTACTCTTTTAAATCGTTTCCTATTTTAATAGGTTAAAAGACTTATTTTCATCTTTTGTGAACTGCTTATTCATATCCTTTGCCTTTTTTTTTTTTAACAGGGTTCTTTTGCTTATTGATTTTTCTGGAACCCCTATCTATTTTGGACATGGATCTTTTTGTCTGTATCAGTTATGGGGTTTGCTTTTAAGTTTCCTTACATGTCTTACTGTAGTACAGAAATTTTACCTTTTTAAAAAATTTGTTCTCATCTATTAATCATTTCCTCTATGGTCCTGGGATTCTTGTCTTGTTTAGAAAGCCTTTCCTCATTGCATGATTTAAAAAATACTCTCTTTTCCTATAATATACTTGGTAGCTTTTCTTTTTCTTTTTTTTTTTTTTAAAGATTTTATTTATTTATTTATTTGAGAGAGAGAGAATGAGAGACAGAGAGCACGAGAGGGAAGAGGGTCAGAGGGAGAAGCAGACTCCCCGCCGAGCAGGGAGCCCGATGTGGGACTCGATCCCGGGACTCCAGGATCATGACCTGAGCCGAAGGCAGTGGCTTAACCAACTGAGCCACCCAGGCGCCCCTCTTTTTCTTTTATTCTCTCCTTTTTTCTTCTTTCTCTTTTAGTGTTTAGACCTTTAACACATCTGGAATTAATTGTTGTTACAGCATGAGGTACTGGCTATTGACCTTTGTAAGCCACACAGTGGAGCATCACAGGGTGCCCGCGATAGGCTTGAGCCCCTGTATAGACCGACCCACACGTGGCTGGGGACCTGCTGTGGCTGGAGCTTAGCTGGCCCCCAAGGTCATAGGTATCTGAGCCCATCTGGTTTGAGAGGGGAGACAAGCTACATTTCAGAATCCTTCCGAATGTGTTAGAGCTGCTGTATCAATGCTGGGCATTTAGAGGCCAAGGCCATGAGCAGAGCTAATAGATTTTCCCAGGAAAATACGCAAACATCTTTAACATGCTATGTGGTTCACGAGGAGCTCCCGTGTCTATCATCCCACTCCATGCCAACAACACGCGTGTAGACGGAAGATTCAGCACCCTCGTTTTACTATTACAGGAAGGTAAGGTGCAGAGGGGGTAAGTGACATGCCTGAGATCACATGGCTGGCAAGTGGCAGACCCAACCAGAACCCAGACCTCCTGCCACCAAGGCCATGGCTCCTCAGACCTCTCTGTCCGTCGGGCTCTGTCCTCAGACCTCTTGGTGTCACTGCGGCTGTGCCCCCTTTGGTGGGAGGGAGGCTATGGCCTAAGGCTTTCTCAAATCTGTGTTCTCCCACTGTGGGCAGGAGAGACTGGAAAAATCCATCCTCCACCACCAGCTGACGGTAGATTTCGAGAACTAAGGCTTCCTTCCGCATGTACCTCCTCCTCCCCTGAGCGGTTTGGCGGAGGGTGGGAGTGGAGATGAGTCAGGCCGGGAAGGGAGAGCTCAGCCATAAACAAGTGAGGCTGACAGCGAGCACTTTCCCTGAGGCGCGTGACCTCCCACGGGCCTCCAGGGACTCTGCCTGAACGCAGAGCTTCAAAATTTCATGATCTAGGCTTTGCAGATTTAATTTGCTATATCACAAAGGCAGCGACAGAAGGGGGAAAACCTTTAGCTAGGAAGTGGGGATGAGAGGGAAGGTAAATTATTTCCAGCCTCTCAGTGGAGAACTCGCTATGTTTTTTTAATGAGTGTGTCATTTCTGCAGATGCCCCATGTGCCTATGGCTGGGTCTTCATCCCTTCCAGCTCTGTACCAAAAAGGACAACCCAGGACACAGAATTGCGGAGCAGGACCCGGTCTTGGAGATCACCTGGAGATCAGACGTTCCAATCCCGAGTGTTAATGGGAGCCCCATGTATCCGAAGGGAAGTGACTTGTCCCACTGCAATCTTTGGGGAAGTTTTGGGAACAAATCTCAGGTCTGCTGGATCCTGGCCTGCGCTTGTTCTGGCGAATCTCAGGAAAACCCTGGGGAGGGCACAGCCACTGGACACATGATGAGACAGTAAAAGGGTGGTGGGGGGGGCACAGAGAGAAATGGAGGCAACAATCCCAACAGTGACCAAGGCGAGCTTCCCCCTGCTCTGGACAGCTGCCGGAGCTAGGGAGGTGCGGGTCCTACCTGCTCCAGGGGGATGACCAGGAAGGAGCCACCTCCCGCGCTCTCGGTGACAATGGCCAAGAAGCGGGTGTTGACAGCACAGAAGTGGTTATCGTGCACATTTTTTGTGATGGGGATACCGTCGAAGCAGTGCTCCCGGTTGGCCACCTTCCCGTAGACGTTCCGGAACTTGGAGCTGCGGTACTGTGGACGCCAGGACATCTGTGAGGGACCAGGAGAGACAAGGGTCAGGCAGGTCACTGCTTCTGGAGGGGCCTGGGCTGGGCATCGGGGGGGAAGGAAGTGGAGAGAGGGGAGGAAGCCTCCAAGAATGCGGGGCCCTCTGTTGCCCCGGGCCTGTGCTAGAGGATTTAACTCTCTTAATAAAGTCCTACAAGAGTCAAGACTGGCATGAGGGTACTCAGACATTTCCCGCCTTTGGTGCACACTCCCATTGCACTTTCCGGAAAACATGGAAGGTCCTTTCACTTGCTGGGGACCTGACATGTGACGGAGCAGACCACCCCCCCAACAACACGTATGGGAAGCCTCCTGCATATCAAAGACTGTGCTCAATTCAGTATGGGAGGTACAAACAGAGGAGGCTGGGAGGCCGCAGAGACAAAGAACACTGCTGTCGGTGAGGATGGGGGGGTGTCCCCTTTTCTGTGCAGAGACAAACAACCATCCATTATCATCCCTCCTCTGATTCTCTCTAGAGCTTCTAATCCACAAATGCACCCTCAGAAATCTCTTAGTCCTATATATCATCATCATCATCATCATCATCCTCCTCCTCCGGCACAGAGAGGTTAAGTGACTTGTCCAAGGCCACACAGCTAATAAGTAGAGCCCTGAACACAGGTCTCCTGACTGGAAATCTGAGACTCTTTCCTGTGTCAGAATACCCTTTGGAGCAAGGTTTCTCAGTGTGTGGTCTAAGGATCACCTGTGTCAAAATCATCTGAGCCTTGCATGTTGTTTGTGAGAAATGCTGATCCCTGGGTCCCGGTCCAGACCTACTGAACCCAATATTTGGGGGATGGGGCCAGAAATTAACATTTTAATTCTGCTTTTCTCCCACCTGCAGGAAATGCCCAGTGAAACAGAAGTACATTGAAGTTTGAGAGCCCAACCCCCTCTCTACCCACCATCGATAACACAGGTTCCAACAAAGCAACCAGTTGGCCCCTACTGCATGTGTGTCCCGTGCCATGCAGCCAAGAACAGAGATGTGCACGAGGGCGACTGGAGGACCGAGTGGGCAGCCCATGATGGAGTCCAGCTTTGCTACAGGATGGCGCCTCCTAAAGGGAAGCCCTACAAATGGTCACGTTCACAGACGGACCCCGAGTAGGTGTTCTCTGGGTAGACGTGCCTCCAGGTGCGACAGGCCACCCGCAGTACCCAGCCAGGGCCTAGCATACAGCTAGAGCTCAACAGCACTTTGTAAATGAATATGCTGCTGGCCCAACTTTGCCACGACCAACGCCTCCCCCTTCCTGACAATTCTCCTATTGTCTCCTACCACATCTCGGTACAGAACGAGGCAAGGGTGATTTCCCTCCAGGAAATTTCCACGGGAAGGAAAACCAAAAGGAAGCACCACTACAGAATCAGGACACCAACTCTGGGAATCTGAAAACAAAACTTTGCATTTGATTTAAATAAAGCCAGGAGCCCAGCTGCAAAGTTCTCTTCATTGAAGGAAGGAGTTCAGATCCAAAAAGGAGGTTCTCGGTGTGTGGGGGGGGTCCCCCACCCCCACTTTCTCCACTGCCCCGGGGTCGCTGTGCACCCTGCCAGGGGACTTCTCCCTGCTTTCCCTGCTCGCCACTCCTCCCTCCCTCCCCGCCTCGGCCCACACCGCCATCCACTCCAATCTGCCTGCTTTGGTCCCTGCCCAGGTCTGCCGGGACTATTCAGGACAAAGTCCTGCTGGACATGGATGGGAGCCCGGTCAGCACCGCTGGCTGCATGACCTCACGCAAGCCCCTCGCACATTCAGGGCATCAGCTCCGCATCAGGATTACATCAGCGATGCCCAGGGTGGGGTCCCAGGTGCTCACTTGTGATCCCCTTACACGGTACAGAGATGAAGTGTCTAATTTTAGTAGTTAGGTGTTCATTTTAATTTGCATTAGAAATATTAAAACTTGTACTCCAAATTCATGATTTCATAGATATTACCGCTAACAAGGCTAAGTTAAAAAATAACGAATCAAATACAAAAAATACAATATGAAAAATATAGCATAGACCTGGCAAAAATTCAATCTGATATGGGAGTGCTAGGAATTGCTCTGTTCCTTCCAGGTAGAACATTCTAGATTCCACAGTTCCCACGAAAGAGAAAGAAAGAGAAATTCTACCTCCTATTCTTTGTTGGTGCATTCCCAGCCTGGAAAGCCTTTATGCCTCTTCCCTGCCCAGCCCACCCTTAGCCTTGAGGGCCCAGCTCAACTCGGACTCCACAGCCCCAGACTCCTCAGAGCCCCTGGACAGCCAGCACCCCTCCCTCAGGGACTAGTCTCCACTGTGTTCCCGGCTCTCTCTTCCCGGGAAGACAATCTCAGCTCCGTGACAGTAGGTGGTGACCCCAGGGCCTCTGAGCCGGACTGCAGATTGGTCTTCGCTCTTCCTGGGCAGCCCACACGAGTCCCAGATGCCATGGGGGGACCTGCTGGGCACCCAGTCCCTGACAGGTCCAGCCCCTCTCCAAAGGGAGCCCCCCCACCCAGGGGGAGACAGCTGGTGTGGTTCAGCCTCCCCCAGCACATAAGGCTCGAGGAGCCACTTCCTAGTCCACATCTGGTGAGCCGGATGACAGTTTCTCTTTCCACTCCAAGCACAGCCCCTGGCCTGGCACCTGGGATGGGCTGAACCAGGCCTGTCGATAATGGCCCAGCGCTACACTCCTCCCCAGTGCGGGCTTCACTGTAGGGTCTCATGGGTGCTGTGAGGGGAAGGGTAACAAGAACCAGACTGGGAGCCACGTGGCCGCAGATGCAGGGCCCTCTTTGCTGCTGCCTAGCTGTGTGACGTGGGCAAACCGCTTAACCTCTCTGAGCTACCTCCGCCCGCTCTTACATAAAGGAGGCTAATAATCCCCACTACCTCCACGAGTGCCGAGGAGTCAATGCCAAGATGCCGTGACATGCATAGCACAGGCCTGGCACCCCTCTGGATGCTCACTTAACAGAGCAGAGTAGGAGGCAGGAGAGGAAGGGCTGGCCTTTGTGAGTCCCCCGACCTGTACTCCCTGCTTATTCTGAATCCCCAGAGGCCTGCAGGTTCAGGGGTGGGGCCTGCACCCAGGTCCTCATGGCTTCTAGCCTGGGTCTGCCATGGGTGGGGGGGTCCACACGGGCCTCCTGAGAAATGCCTAGTTCCAGAGCTCCGGTAACAGTGAGACCAGCTGACCTGACAGGCTCTCCAGAACTCTCCCTACAACACCCACGTTTCCCTGGGTGGAGCCCACTGGTGCTGGCTATACCTGGATCAATCTTCCCATCTGACTTCACCTCTTCCTCCTCCGTCTCTCCTCCACTCTTTCCTTACTCTCTCCCCCCATCCTTCCTGCACTGTCCCCCTTCTCTGCCTTTTCTTCCCCCCACCCCATCTCCCCACTGCCCCATTCCCCAGAGCGTACGTACACAAAGAAGCATTTGTGGTCAAGGCTCCCAGTGGGTGCACCTGTATTCTCCTTGAACATAACCCACTGGTGCCCCTCACAGCCCAGCATCCTGGGGGGCCTGAGCCCAGCCCTGGGGCTTGGGGCCTGCACTCAGCAGGCCTGTTCTTCCAGTGAGCCTGCCTCCTGGGGTTGGGCCCCAGCAGGCCCTCGAACGATGCCAGCCTGCTTCCTAGGAAGAGAGTTTTTCCAAGGGCTTTGTTCTCAGCAAGCTCGCTGCTGGTGTCTTCCCACTGGCGGGTAGGCTGGGGCTGGATCTCTTAGTTGGGCCTGCGGAAGGGCCCCTTGCCGATCGTGGTCCTCATCACTGGGCCTGCAGCCTCACCCCACACGGGCCCACAGCAAGAGCACGGCAGAGTGCTGGACCCTGGGTTTCCACTCCCAACTCTGACTCCTGCTAACCTTGGAAAAGACACTTTGCCTCTCTGAGCATCAGGTGCTCCATTTCTAAAATGAGATCCATAATTTCTGATTTTATGTGGTTGTTTGAGGAATCAGAATGAGATAACGATGCCACCGCTGTTCCCGTGGGCCCAGGCCATTGAGGGGGCCCAGGAGAGCACGGGCACATGTCCTGCTTTCAAATACGGAGAAGGAAAAGCCCGTACCTGACAAATTCATGGTGGTCGGACAGTCACTTGGTGGCAAACAGACTGCGGAACAGAAGTGCTATGGGGATGGGAGGTCAGGGAAGAGGGGGATCAGGGTGGGCTTCATGGGGGTGGGGGCCGTTCGCCTGCACCAGGCACCCAGAGAGCACGGGGCTGCACACAATCCCCGTGGGGGAGCTCCGGCTGTCCTTGTACAGGGTGGGAAACACCTAGCCCAACCTCAGATGGCGAGCACAGGGGCGACTTGAACCTGGTCTTTCTGACTCTGCAGCCCAGATCAGGTTTTCTCAAACCTTTTATTATGAAAGATTTCAATACATAAAAATAGTTGGGGGAATGGTAAAATAACCACCCAGCACCTAGGTTAATTGTCATTAACATTTTGCGTTTCTTTTTCTCTCTGCGTGTGTGTGTGTGCGCGCGCACATGTGCGTGTCTTTTTTTTCTTTTGTGGAATCATTTGAAAGGAGGTTGCACACATGACTCTTGTCTCCTATTACACCTGCATGCATTTCCTACAAAGGAGGACAATTTCCTACATTACTATTATCACGTCTAAGAAAATTTAACAATTCCTCAATCCCATCGAAGACCCAATCCATATACAAAATGCTCCAAAATGCCTTTTACAGCTATTCCATATCATGAACAACCAGAACGGGGAGCCATGGGTTAGTCCCATGGGTTTCATTTGGTGGTGATCTCTCTTTTGCCTCCTTTCAATCTAGAACATTCCCATCACCTTTTGTTGTTGTTGTTTTCTTTCTTTCCTTTTTTTTTCTTTTTTGTGGTATTGACTTTTTGAAGACACCGAGTCAGCTGTGTAATAAAACGTCCCAGCGACCTATCACATGTTGCGTTGTGACAGATTCAAAGTCATTCCCATATTCCCTGTAAACTTCAGGAGTCAGGTGTAA